TATTAAACCCATGGTAAATTTCTGAATTATAAGAAACAGGGGGTCATCTCAGTACCTCTGAGAGCACCTATGTTGTCTGTACGTGGGGTGAGAGGGGAGGATGGGGGCAGCACTCCTGTACTCCTGCAGGGCTGTTTGGCAGAGGAAATTGAGAGGTCAGAGCCTGGATTTTGCTCACCATTTCCTTCATTGTGAAGCTTCTAACCTAGTCCCTAGGCACTTTATTACAGCTGCATTTGTTGGAGTACCCTCATGTTACACCAGTAAGACAAATAAAGGGGCGACCAATGTCACCACCAGCACATTAATTTTCATGGGCCACAGCAGCAGTGGCAGTTTTTTACATCTGCAGCCAGCAGAATCTAAAAGGACACCTCTGTTTCCCCTCCTGACTACAAGCATTGCGAGCCCTGAGGCAGCAGGAGCCACCACGGAGGGAGGCCAGCGGTGAGCAGTGGGTTACACAAACAGTTCTGTGACCTGCTGAGGAGGGCAGCGGGGAGGGGAACACCAACTTCTGCTCCACATCAGACATCTGCCCAATTTTATTCTTGCTCTGTACATATAGCAGCATAGCTGCTCTGGAAATCCAGACCTGGCCTCCTGCCTGTCATTCAAGCACTTTAATTTGTATTCAAGATGGGAAAGTAAACAACATGTCTGTGAGATAACATCAATGTCCTGTCATCTACTGACTGCACCTCTGCTTTGAGTTCTTACTCCTGGTCTTGTATATACCACTTCTATGTATGTACCACACACTTTTTGCCACTGTAAAATGATCTGTGAAATCTGATTAGAACAATTCTCATTTTGTAAGAGGAAAAGCAGGGTACTCCAAAAAAATCTCCTGTGGTGTGACTGACTCCTCTTCCAAGAAGAAAGCACAGACTGGAAAAGGCAACAGCAAGAGAAACAGAAAAAAAAGAGACAACCATAAAGCTTCTACAGAAGTAGGAATAGCAGAGAGAAACTTTGGGGAAATTTTAGTTTTTCCTTTGTCCTTTTGTGAGAGGTATCTCTCCCGTAAATCCATCCCATATTAACTATGACATCTACTGAAAAATCAAGAATGCAAAACGTAACACTGCATACAATGCAAGAATGACCAGAGAACACACCTAAACAATTCTCTCAGAAAACACCAGAGTGCACTACTGCATAGCTGTCATCAACTCAGAGTGTGTTGCTCCAAACTTTATCCAGTTGGCCTTGAAAAGCTCCACAGATGGAGATTCCAGAGCAGGTCTGAGGAATCCATTCCTATGTTTATTCTCCTTAATCCTCCCTTTCACTAAATCAGAACCTTAATTAATCAATTTCTTAATCACTTAATCAATTTTTGACCAGGATCTTGTCTTCTCCTATCACACACACCAGTGAAGAGCCTGGCTCTGTATTCTCTATAGCTTTCTCATATGGATTGAGGGTTGGCTATTAAGTTCCCTCCCCAAGTCTTCAGGCTGAACAAAACCCATTCCTTGGCCTTTTCTCACAGGAGGGTGCTCCAGTCCTGACCGTCTTGATAGCTATCCATTAGGCTCGCTCCAGTCTTTTTTGGATCTTAACTGTGTGTCAAATACACATCCTTGCATATACAGGTTCTCCAAATGCTTGATTTTGCTTTTTGTTTCATTATCAAAGTAGCAAGCACTTGGGATGCTTCCCTGGAAACCTAAACATGAGGATTCTGAGGCAGGTGGATACCTCACACTGCACTGAATTATCACCAGAAGTAGCAGGCCTGGGTATCAATGGTCTCCCCACCTGCAGGAATCCAGACAAGCTTTTTTACCTGCTGCTCCTCTGCCAGGAAAATAAAGACAAATTCCACCTCCACTTGGATGGATTTCCTGAGGCACTTACATATACAGGATTAACTACTTCACCTCAAAGGAATGAAACAGCAAGTTTCATTCATTCTTTCATGAGGTACCCCAAAATTGCACTAAACTCACCACAAACACTTCTCAATTCATCCTTTCATTAATGAATTGCGCTTTCATACTCGGCAGGAAACTGAAATGTCACTGTTTCTGGTGCTAAACACAATTAAATGGTGATGTAGCCAATACAGTCACAGTGCTGTTACACTGAAGTGGGGTATTTCAGTTAACATCCAATTTTTAAACATTTTGAAAGCAAGATCATTATATTTAAGTACTTGCTGAGGGTTGCATAGTGTTGCCTAATGAAATGCAACCCATGGCATGCACCACCTTCACCTCTTTCTAAAATGTGATGCTTAACTATGGTCCTAAGTATGTTATAAAAAGCATTTTGTTAAAGGGAGGCCTTTGGTGCAAGACTTTGTTTTCTGATTTCAACAGTGAAACTTCAGGTGGTCATTCCAGGCAGCACAGTACAGGGAGCACAGCCCTGATCTACTGAAATGAGACACAAGCTCCCTGGGAAGCAGCGTGCTGGCGTGTGACATCTGGCCTCTGCTGAGCGGAATTAGTGACAAATTTTAGACTATATCAACAGTTCTACAAAGTTCAGACAACTCTGCTGCCTCCTGAGCTCACTGTGTGCACAAAGAGATGACAGCATGAAGGGGAAAATGTTCTTTTGGTGAACAGATGAAACTTCTTCTCCCACTAACAGTATGGTGAGTGACCAACTGCCCCAGATTTCCCCCAGTGCAACACACTATTTGTGAGGTCATTAGTGCTGTGGATACCACTGCAAAATACTCACTCTGCAGAGTGGATTTTGCATCATACGTAACAGGAGTTTAAAAATATTTAAAAGCACTCCTCAAGAAAATCCTCAACTTCCCCTTAACATTGCAAACAGTTCCCTAATATCACTTGGATGCATTGTTCAAGTTTGCAAATCAGACAATTATATTAATTTCTATGACAGAATTAGGTGAGTAGGTGATCTACAACATTTTTTACTCACAGCACAAGAGCCTGGCAATGCTAACTGAGATCACAAGTGAAAATTAACCACACTGGATTCATGGCAGAGAAAAATACAGCTTACACATTTTATCTGCATTCAAATTATATTTCTGCCTTGTACATACAACCTTCTGCTCTGATCCTGTGTTCATGATGTGCTAGTCTTTTCCATATATATCAAAAGGTTAGATGAATGAAATAGATTTCAAGTTTTTTGGTACAAGACAAAGTTTAATGATCTGGAATTTTGTAGTGAAAATTACAAATCTGTGAGCAAAGCTGGAGAAGTACTTCAGTCAACAATACCTTGCAGAAAGGTTGCAAGGCAAACGCAGAGCACTATTAAATTCCACAGTATGAAGAATTTCCAGTTACATCCCTGCTGTGAAACTCACTTGGGAACAAAAGGGATTATTGTTAAATAATAATCTGAACATGACTGTGTTGTAAAACGACAACAGGCCATTAGATCTTGTTTTGTGTTTCGAGGAGATTTAGGCAAGTGCCCAAATTGCCAGGTAAGTTACTTTTCAGAATATCTACTGAAACCAAACATTAATAGTACCACTAACAGGTCCTGGTTAGATGCATCACTGGTGAACACTTTTCATCTGCTATGTTCAAAAATATATTATTACAATACTCTCTTATTTCTACAGGTTTTTTTTTCCTCTGGCTGAAACTCATTATTGTAATATAAACCTCATAACATTGAAAGTATTAATATTCATGCAAACTTGTTCAGTGGGAAAGCAATGACTCAGACCTGTAATTTCTCTTACACATCCTACCAACAATCTCTTAAGAAACAAGTGTCAAATACTGTGACTTTATACAAACAGCACCAGTTAAAATTTCAAGAAAGCACACCAAGTACCTTTTCAAAAAAATCTTATTTTTATTGTTTGCACTAACTGTATCATCATTAACAGCTTTCATCTCTAACAAACTGAAGCAAGCTAGTACACACAAAAACCTATGCAAGGTGAAGCAGATCCTAGGTTACATAAATGCAGTACACCTTGGTGTGTAACAAGCCCAAGGGCAGTTAGTTCATCCTAACACTTTAAACACAGTCACTCCAGTTCTGTGAATTTTTCAGAGCTGTTAAAAAGTTTCATTTTTTCTTTAAAAAGGAAACAGCTAAAATATTTATAGACATTACTGATTTTTAACCAAAATTCTTATGTCTAAATTATTACAATGCAGCAAGGACCCCTCTTCAGCTGTAATACCATTGCTCTGCAAAAAAAAAAAAAAAAAAAAAAAAAAAAGAGAGAGAAAATTAGTCACTTTGCTGTATTAGGCATAAATTATCATTAGCAGCCTGAACACTTGCCAGCTCACACTGCATACATTCCCATTTCTTTCAAGTTTGCCAGGTCCACTTATCAGCTCCTGGCTTTCTGTCTGAGCTGGAACAGAAGTGGATACAAAACAAATCACTTCTGCAATAAAGGGCTTTGCCTTTTTAAATGCTGGCTGAAAATCTGAGACTCACCAAACAAGTGCCTGCATGGTATCCCCTATTGCCTCTACAGTAACAGACTCGCAAACCAAGACAGTCCACTTGGGTCTTCTGCAAGGGATTTATGAACTAATTTCATTTTTTAGATTATTTCATTATTAACCAGCAGTTTTGATGAATAAGCTTTATTCCCTCAGTCTCTGAATGTAGTTTGTTCTAACTGATGCATTTGGCTGGATCTGATGCGTTTGTTTTTTATCTTGCTTCCCTGGCATAAATCCAGAAGGCAGCACAAGAGGAAAGGAGTGACAGAAGGCAAAAATTAGCTCAATTCGAACAGTTAGAACTGAAATACTATAGGATTAACAACAGATAGGGCAAACATCTCAGTACATACTGAAGAACTCACAGGAGGCTGTATGGGAGTCCTGAACCAATATGGATCACTGGAAATTTAAGCTGTCCAGCCCCTCAAAAGCTTTGTAATGTTAGATTTTAGCAAGCGAGCTTAGCACCTCCCTGTCCACATCCTGGAGACCCCCAAAATAAAAAAAATGTAGAACAGAATCACTCTTAGGTATATTCTACTGTGCTTTCAGATTAGTTTTACCTGAAGCAAATCCTTAACCCCTAAGGATGCCAATGATGTAGGAGCAGACACCATGCAGAGATTCCCAGCAGTGTTCCCGTGCCAGTTTCATTGCTTCTGTTTCATTTTCAGAAACTTGACCGTGTTGGGTTAGGTCAGAGTTTTGCCCTGCTTCTCCCATAGGAATGGAAGCTTTCTGGACTGATTTTTCCTGGTCTAGATCTTCTGGCTCCACACCAGCAGCTATTTGCCTCATGAGAGCCTCTGGGGGAGCCTTTTGGCACATGGTGGTCTTCAACACTTCCATGGATTCGCAAGCATGCGGGATCTTTCTGAGCTCTGCGGCGATCTGATTCCAGTAAATCTTTGGATTATTTCTGAAAGCACGACAGACTGATGGCTTGCCAGTGAATTCACACCAGTAGGACAAGCCTTGGCTTTTGCATTCAATTCTAAGTTTCATCTCCTCGTCGTCGCCACTCATGGTTATTGTGCAAACATCTTTGGTTTTAGTCCGAAATTTGATTTCTTCACCATTGCTTCTCTTCTTTGGCTTCAGCTTCTGTCCCAGTCCTCCCATGCCACAGATGACAATGAGGAAAAGGAGAGCAGAACTCTTCATGGTGAGAGGAGTGAACTGAGATCCTTGAACAGCACAATCCAAAGAAGCAGTAAGTAAATGGCTGCTCACAATTTAAACTCTTTGCGCACAAAGAAGCCTCTTTCCAGCTAAACACGGGATGTAAGGGTTGGGCATTTTTATAAAAATAATAAATCACACTTCAGTAGGCAAATGCCCACAATTTATAGCCTGAGGGAGTGTCGAATAACCCAGGGAGTGTGAACTCCCAAGAAGGTAACAAGACAAGTCTTGTAAATGCAGTTAAAATACAGAACGATAGTTGTATAACTGAGAAGCACATTCCTATCCAGGATGAACATGTCATTTTGGATTTTTAACAGATATTTTCCCTTCTCCAGCTGCTTTATAGCTATCTTCATGCTAGAGCTTGTAAAATGATATCAAAGTAAAAAAAGTACCAAAGCAATCTCTGCATCTGGATGATTATAAATGTCCTGGTAGTGTAAGTGTCCTGATAAAAAGCTGATTTGTGGAATAGGCTATCTGTGGATTTTCACAGTAAGGATGCAACTTTAGCTCTTCCTTTTGTCCACACATGACATGCAGTGGGGATGCAAGGAAGAATCAACAGCACATTCTTTGAGCCATGTATGTATACAAGAAAATAAATAAAGCTTAAGCAAAATAAGGTATTACAGGTCTAAAAACATACCAAACATCTGCAAGTTTTATCACCATTTCCACATCACCAGTCCCTTTCAGCCAAGAGAGCAAGACAGCAGAACTAACTTATCACAGTTCTCAGCAGCAGGGAACAGACGACAGAGCATATCAGACAGGTATTTGCACTTCATCACTTTCTTTTTTTACATAGATATTTTCCTGTTTGTAACAAGTGAGCTGTAAAAATGCTGTAAAACAAAGGCAGGAGAACAGAAATATTGTGGTGCAGAGTCCTGTCCTAGCAGTTTTTGCCACACTAACTAAAAACAGAGCTAAGAAAAATTCACTGTAACTCCCCTAGCATTTCAGAAGGTCATGAGGAAAAATCCCTCCCCTGCTGTGGCAATCCATGGTGCTTTTCTGGCTAGTAAGACCCCCACTAAGCACTTCTTCCAAAGTCATATACGCTACAGCCAGCCTGACCTGACCAGCTCCTGGAAAGAGCTACTGGATTGTTTATGTATGCTTCAGTAACTGTGGGGTGCTGGAAACACTGGGTTTAAGACTGGCCATACATAATGGAGCAGAACAGCAGTTTGTGTATTTAGTCAATCACTAGGTAGTGCTAAACAAAATACCAAGACAAAACCATTCCTTTTAACACAGATGGCAAAGCAGAACATCATCAACAACAACAAAAGATTCGCTAATAGAAGAGGGACAAGAGTTCCTTGCTGTGTGGCAGCCCAGATAACCTGAAAGCTGCCTGCTTGAAGAAGCAGCCACCTGAACAGGATACCATTCTGGGTATCCTAACCTTGTCCTTTCAGTCAGTGTGCCATCAGGTTCCCATGACTAAATACCATTTGACAGAGAGAACAACCTTGTTTTCTTTTCATTCCCTCTCCATGGCTATTTTAATAACATTTTTCGCAGAAACTTCATCTCTAGCTTCATTCCATTAGTTCCTCCTCTCTCTTTCCAGGCACAGTGGTGTGGCTCCAGCCAAGTCTTAGAACAACAATGGCATAAGCCTACTTAAGACTTACCATTCACTCTTCTTTGTTTTCTGGGGAGTCTTCTCACCCTACAGCCAGCCAGAAGAATCTTGTTACCCACTTCAAAACCCTACTGCAAGCACTTGAGTACCTCCTAATCTTTAACAAAAAATGTATTGTTTACACTTTGTTATGCACAACAGCACTGAGAATTTTTAGATTTGCTGAAGAGTCCAAAACAATTCAAAAGTTAATTTATACCAGTTTCAGATCTCTTGTTCTCAAAGTTTTTCAAGCCTAATCATGAGAACAAATAAACCACAAGGATAAGGAGAAATATCAAAGCTTGGACTCAAATATATTTATGTGTTAGCTACTGTGGTCCCACCAAGTGTTTGGATCATTCTAATCTGACATTTCAGTCCTGTCTTCCTGTGCTTCAGATAAAACAGTTTGTGGTCTCCCATATCAGTAGAAAACAATTATCCTTTTACAAGGTAAGCTAGGATGCCACCAGTGAACCGTGGGAGCTGAAGAACTAGCAAATATTTAATTCTGCTGCCAGTGCTATACAGAAACAGGTATCCTGTGCAGCTCATAGCTTGAATTCTACCATGTTGGCAAAATTCACATTCTTGGTGGAAGTTGGAAGCTCCCTCACCCAGAGTCAAAGTTATTTCAGTCCTTCCTGCTGCAAAAGTAAAAGTCAAATGTAGCAAAGATTTTTAATCAGGGTAAAGAAATTCACTCTCATAAGATTTTAACTCTGTGCAACTCTTCTGAGAGATGTCTCCACAACAAAACAGGGGAGAACCAAACATAAGGTAGTTAAGCAAGATCTTTTTTATTTAAATGAACTGGGAATATTTTCTCAAATTAAAAATAGAAACTTTTAAAAATCTGGAATTCTGAACATTACATATACACATATGCTACATACTGTCAATTAGAAATGTTTCCATCTATGACATAAAAATGAAAAATTTAAGGTTATTCTGGATTAAAGACTGGTATCATTTTTCAGCATTTCTTTAAAATTATAATGACGTATAGGATTATCTCTACTTCAAGACAATGAACCCTGTTTGAAACAAAGTTAACAATACTGATAGATGAAGAGATACTATTTTAGATCAATATATTGACTACTTCACCTGCCAGAAGGTTTTACACTGGTAACAGAGTTTTGGCCTTGTTGATAAGGTCTACTGTTAACTAATTCAGCAATTCAACCATATGCCTACGTTCGGTGAAATAACTCTAACAGTACAAATGTTAACTCCAATTGCTAAACAGATTTGAATTTCCATATTGTAAATCACAGTATAGTATTATTTAGCAAAAATACTACCACTGCCTCCAAAAGAGCCACAGTGATACTATTAAGGACATTACAGAAGTGGGTGTGAAAGAAGAAAAGGAAGATAGAGAATATAAAGCATTCCAAAAATCGCCAACATAGGACATCCCTCATGCTCTTTTTGAGTACTACTGAACCCTAGAAAGCTTAGCCTTTTCACTATATTATGCATCCTGCACACCCCCAACCCTCCCACCCCAAGTTTTTAAAAACAAACTTCTCCAAAGAGTCCCTTTCAGGTCTATACAGCAAAACCCACTAAACATTAAATAATTAAGGAAAAAAAAAAAAAAAAGGAGAAAGAAAACAAAACTGCAACTGAGCTTCTCAGACACACAAAGAGACACTGTGGACCCCATTACAATCCAAATTTAGTCCAATGTAGTCATTCAAGAGCACCAAATAGCAACACTGATCATGCTGGTAAATTCATTTGTGAAGAGTATTATACAATATTAAAATCTTAACTAACCACTTAGAAGTTTTAAGAAAAATGTATATACAAAAGTCTCTGGTATACAAAATGTATTTTTATGTAAACGTGTATGTACTGTATTTAACACAAATCAACAATTTAAGATAAGAACTTGAACAATTTTAAGAGAATTGCCAGGCAAAGGCTGTTAATCTAATTAAATTTATATACTGTGATGTAAGGTAGAAAGCCCAGTGTAAAAAAGTAAAAAACAAAAAAAAACATTTTAATCCAAGCCTTGAACAGTGGTATTTGAGAGGCAGTGACCTGATCACAAAATATTCTGTACAGTAGTTTATGGCATAACATTCAATAGTTCATTTGGGATTTACAGTACAGCTGACATGAAACAAGTGGCTCAGGATCTGTCAGATGATTGGAAATGCCAACATGCTTGGAAGAACAATGATGTACTCCCACAGAAGAGTCTTGAGCCTCATTTATATAGCCTGTAAATAATAACAAAAAACAATTCAGGAAAGAATTTATAAAGACTGAATTTTCATGTAATTTAAACAGAGTGAAGGGATAGATTTTAATACAAACACCAATACGACTGAATAACTTTTTTTGGTTTTAGACCTGACAGCATACTCCTGTTGCAGCAATCAAAGCAGCCTTCCTAAAGTAGTAAAGTAGTAATAGGTCTAGAATTGATTTAAGTTTATTACTTACCCCTCAACATTTCCAGTATGTGTTACCACTGTTCCACAGAGCTACACGAGAAAAACAAGAAAAAACCATAAAATAAACCCGTAATTTTCTTTTGTCCACAAATGGAAGAGAAATACTGTGTCTAACTTAGGTGAGACAAGCTCACAACTAGTAATGCTTTACTCATTTAATCAAGTATTTTTCAAACAAGAGGAAATAGATTCATGGTTTTCTCCATCAACCTTTCAGGTTATTTTTGCTTCATTAAAGAAATAAATACTTGGGTTGCCTATTCAACACCCCTCTTTTGTGAATTTAATCCAGCCTCACTTTTTGCTCTAACAAAAAATGGTGGCTGCATTTGAGGCTATTTGTGTCTTTGCCATGTATATAAAAATAGTTGTATGAGACACGTACACCTCATGTAGTTCTTACTTGTACTTACATATCTTAGTGTTATAACAACATTTGCATTTCTTTTCAGCAAAATTATCCAGCTGATTTTGAAGGATAAAAAAACCCCAAGCCCAACCCTATGGCATTCTTTAATCCTGCAAAAGTATAGGCATGCAGAGATCTAATCAAAGTAACGTCTCTCAAAGTATATCCAAAAATAATTTGTAGGAAATGAGAAAAAATCAAGGATAGCATAAAAGCAAAGAGTATGCTGAAATTTGATTTTATTCATATGGGAATGCCATACTGAGAAATTCAAAGCATGTATGCCATAATTAGCAGTTTTTTAAATTACCTCAAATTAGCACATCAGAAGACAGCACTGCATCAAAATGAATCTTTAAATTTTAGCATTTTATCAAAATAAGTCAGAACTGAACTAGTGGATCTTTGTGTAAAAGATTATTTTATGCTAATAAGTTTTAGGTTGTTC